CAGTCGTGGCATCGCCGACCTCGAAGAAATCTCCTGCAAAAAAGAAGACTGCTGCTTCTAAAGCATCCAAGTCTACCGCATTGCATCCGAGTACGGCAGTGATGGTCACCAAGGCCATCAAAGAACTCAAGGAGAAGAAAGGTTCGTCGTTGCCGGCCATCAAAAAATATTTGGCTGCCAACTATAAAGTTGACCCCGCCAAGCTGGCTCCATTCATCAGAAAATTTCTAAAAGCGGCCGTCGCCAACGGTTCCGTGGTGCAGACCAAAGGCACTGGTGCTTCGGGACATTTCAAGTTACCCGTCGCAGAGGCTAAACCGAAGAAAGTCGTTGCGAAAAAGAAAAAATCGATCGTYAAGAAAGTCAAAGCTGCCGGAACACCCAAGAAGAAGAAGCTCCCGGCCACCAAGAAACCCGCGACAGGTGAACCAGCGGCTAAAAAAGCAAAGAAGGCTGTTGCATCCAAAAAACCAAAAACGTCGGTGAAACCGAAGAAGCCTTCGGCCAAAGCAAAAAAACCAGCTGCTGTCAAACCAAAATCGAAAAAAACTCCAACTAAGAAAACTGCAGCCCCTAAGAAGAAGTAAACACCTATCTTCCAGCCCCCCCCCCATCTTTCTAAAACGGTCCTTTTCAGGACCACCAATATTTATTGGCCAACCCTCCTCTCCTTTAAAATATAAGTCATTTATATATATTTATATATATTATCAATTGGTTAAAACCGAATGTTGAAGTGTGTACAAAACCATAGAGATACATGAAATTACCGAATCTCTTTATATATAAGCATATCCTATCTACCTTGCAATTTTCAATCATTATTAGTTTTTTTTTAATTAATATCGATACGAATTTATTTGTTTCGTAAAAAACCATGAAAATTTAATACAAMGCTCTTAACATATTGTTACAATAGCAGTTGAAAAATAAAATAAATATATTATACTCATAATTCTTCTATACAAGCATTCATTAGTTTAAATTTTGACAACATACGTAAAAATCACGGAA